GGTCTAAGCCCCTCCTCTAGAGTATTGTCAGTCTATACCGATCAATTATTGGCTTTTGTACTAGAGGGAGGGATTTATTCGCCATATTGCGATCGGCGATTGGCTCTTGTACTAGAAGGCGGGCTTTATTAGCCATATTGACCGTTACACTTTTCTCCATTCAAAACAAACGAGTGACATGTCTTGTGTATTCTATATACCATTTTGACGAATGTAAACAAAAACAATGGTCCCAGCGTATTTACTGTTTCACATTTTTACTTTTTGTAACTTCTGAGAATCTAAAAGGAGCCACATATTGATAAATAATGTTATGATGGCTGTTTTAACATTGAGATATGATTGAATTGCCTCTTGTTACAGTTATGAAATAGTTTGATAACAAGGAAGAAATGTTCATGGACCAGTGACATCACCACATTGAAGTGGTATAAAGCAGGGGTATCTAAACTCGATCCTGGAGGGCTGGTGTCCTGCATAGATTACAGACTAGCCTGGAAGTTTTAGTATACCTAGAAAGAGCGTGATTAGCTGATTTATATGTGTTTAATTGGGGTTGAAGCTAAAATATGCAGGACACCGGCCCTCCAGGACCGAGTTTGGGCACCCCTGGTCTATAGTCTTTGACTATACTGTTATATAGCTTGTGTAGCTTTTAGCTCTGTAAATTGTGGTGTATACACTGTAAAAAAATGTGGTTTATTTCCGGCTTAATTTAACGTCTGTTATTTTACTTTTTTGTCGGTACCCCAGCTGCCGGAAATAAACCATAAAATTACACATTTTTTTACAGTGTATATTGTAGAAAATGGTATAAAGTACATTATTAATTAAGGTACTCTACAATAATTGAGATATTTTAGTTTATGTTATATTTGAATCATACTATATGAGCCATACTACATGAGTGTAATTTCCAGTGGAGTCCGGGGGGTTGTCCACCCTCCTGTAATTTAAAGAACATTATGTTCTGCTCGGAACTGTTAATAACCTCAGAATTATAATATTTATAGTACCGGAATGAATCTGCAGCGCTCAGGTTGTACAAGACCACATTGCAAAAGTCAATGAAAAATTAGTGGAGTGTTTTTCATGAGTCTCCTAGTACAACATGGCGTGAATATACTTTATATATAAACCGTCATTTCAGGGTTCAGTGGGAAAATTGTTAGTAGTGACATTTTATATTATTTGGTTGGTGAGGTTTTGGTGAAGAGACACATTAATTGCTGTTGGTAATATAAAATTCTGCATTCATGCCATGCCATAATGACCATAATAAACCATTTGATATGACAAATAGAGTGTTTTACTCTGAATTGTTTGTCTGAAATCATATGATACACGATGGAGTTCTCAGAAAATTCACATTTGATTGCTTAAAAAAATATGCAAATAAAGACATTAACCCAACATTTGGGTATGCACAATGTGAAATTAATACATTTTTAGCATTAGGTGTATGATAAGAAGCCCATTCCATTTTACCCAGGGTTTAGAATAATTAAAATATTGTTGATTACTTAAACTATTTCTCATGTATAGAGCTCACTTATTTAACTCACTTACATTTTAAAGTATGCTATATATACACTTTTATTATAAATCATAGAGATGAAAGTAAATGTTCACTTTCAATCGGAACTAGTTCAGTGGTTTTTCTGTCTGTCGGGTAAATACACGAACATCCCTGGATTGTGAAATATACAAGTGTCCTTTTAAAAATGCAATACTGTACATACTTTGAACCAACAATCTGTTGTACACAAATTCTCAGTGTCTATCCAATTGTGAATGACCAGTATGACTGAGTAGAATGCATGGCGAATATTTGTTTCTATATATACATTATAGGTAAATAAGAGTGTCGTTGGATTAGACTAAATAAAGCCCAGGCTAAATTTGGAAAGGAATATATTTTGTGCATGGCAGGTGCAAAGAGCTCACAGGTTTAAACAGTAAGAAATATAAAAAATTGATAGAGAAGATATAAACCCTGCTGTCGTACAAACAGGAAGAGGTTTAACACAAAACAACTTTACTGTGTCTTTCATGCGAGACATAACCAACGCCTAGTCGGATTCTAAAGGAGTCACTTTCACTTCAAATTATGACTCAAACCTAACGAATTCTGTACAGAGGAGCTGGCTGATGGAAAAAAAAACATTCTGCATGTGACAGCCATTTAAACTGACAAAACTGTAATATATTCTGAATATGGTTGGTACAATCTAATGAAATTTGAATATGATTGTGAATCAAGGCATTTTTTAAACACTTTATATATTAAATCATACACTGTAAAACCCAAGTCAACTTTATTAAATGATATGAGTGTTAACTCATTACTTCAACCTAAATGGAGTAAGTACACAGTACTCATATAGATTAGTTTTTCAACTCTTCATTTTATGTGTTTCACTGTGCTCAAAATTGCTTCGTTTATTCAAATGAATTAAGTTCACAGTTCTCATTAGGATTATATTTTTAACTTAAATAGTTTGTTGCAATCCGTTTTCTCAATTGGTTTGAGTTACCTTAACGTATTGGGTTTTACAGAGTACATACAGTATATACAGTTGAAATCAGAATTATTAGCCCCCCTGTTTATATTTTTCCCCAATTTTTGTTTAACGGAGAGAAGATTTTTTCAACACATTTCTAAACATAATAGTTTTAATAACTCATTTCTAATGACTGATTTATTTTATCTTTGCCATGATGACAGTAAATAATATTGGACTAGATATTTTTTAAGACACTTCTATACAGCTTAAAGTGACATTTAAAGGCTTAACTAGGTTAACTAGGCAGATTAGAGTAATTAGGCAAGTTATTGTATAACGATGGTTTGTTCTGTAGACTAGCAAAAACAAATATAGCTTAAAGAGGCTAATAATTTTGACCTTAAAATTTTTAAAAAATAAATGCTTTTATTCTAGCCGAAATAAAACAAATAAGACATTCTCTAAAAGAAGATATGTTATCAGACATAATGTGAAAATGCTCTGTTTGAAAAGAATTCAAAGGGGGGCTAAAATTTCTGACTTCAAATGTATATGACAATGACATTTTATTGGCTGAACACATTGTTGAAAGCAATTACCATCACCACCGAAGTGTTCATACAGTTTCATTTCCAGTCTCAAGTTTTGCAATCTCTGTCCTTTAACTTTAAAAGACTTTGCATATATATATTCATTCATTTTCTTCTCGGCTTAGTCCCTTTATTATCGCTACAGTGGAATGAACCGCCAACTTATCCAGCACATTTTTTACGCAGCAGATGCCCTTCCAGCCGCAACCCTTCTCTGGGAAAATATATATAACACATGCATAAGGAAGTTTGTTATTTATATATATATATATATATATATATATATATATATATATATATATATATATATATATATATAAATAACAAACTTCCTTCCTTATAAATATATAACTTTATATAACTTCCTTATATATATATATATATATATATATATATATATATATATATATATATATATATATATATATATATATATATATATATATTATATATATATATATATATATATATATATAAAACAAACTTCCTTATGCATGTGTTTCTGTTGAATACTATTGTGCATGAAAAGGAGAAGCTCTAAAGCTGTTCTATCACACTTGTTCCTGCAGTCAAGCAAAACACTGAAGGCCAGTTCTTGCAAAATAAGCATGACCTTTTTTCATATGCTATGGGGATAATGAAAATAAATACATCATTTGAATATTCTAGACAACATTAAATGGAATCCTATTTTGCAAGTAAAAAGACTTATAAATTTAGACACCAGAATTAGTTGGAAAAATGTTTGCATTTCATGAATTAGTAAGTGCATCAAATATGAATGATTGACTTGTGAATTCACCAGTGCATAAAGCTCCAACAGAATCTAAATCATGTGATGGAACATGGTGTGTATTTGACTGCATTTAACAACCAAACTCCACTTAAAACTGCAGACTTTATAATGTATTAATACATATGTACAGTATGTATGTCAAGAAGAAAATATATTAAATGGCCTGTCACACCTTGTCATGCACTGTACTGGATATCACACCATTACCTTCTGTGTAAATACTAGAAAGGTTTCTGTAAGTCTGCTACGTGAACGTGATAAGATCTTAGACTTCACCACTGTTTTACATCTGACCGTTTACTACAGAGGAAGACAGAAAATGGCTATTGCTTTCTCCATGTACTGCAGTACAGTATATTTTACTCATATTTGTTTTTAATCTACAAATACATACTAGTTTCATAAGATTTACAAAATTAGGTTTTGCTGGTTCCCTTTAGACATTCTACTTACTTTAATAACTTTACAGCTACATGACAACTAGTGTCTATCTGACTATGTGGTTAATATCTACTTACAGTTTCTGTTCTGCTAACTGATTAAAAAATACATTTGCAAGTTCATGCAAACTTATTCTATTAACCTCTGATAACTTAACAAAACAGCCTTCTAGTACTCTAACAAAAATTCTTAAGTGGACCATCAAAGTAAAGATTAATCCAAATTTTAAACTCAGTCGAATACAATAATGTAAATTAACACAAACACACACAAATACTGATGTATACTGCAAATTGCACAACTGTGCTGTTCTACTACATTCATATACTATAAGTGAATAGCATTTAACAGACTATGATTATAAAAAGGTATCCTGCATGCATCACTGCACAAAACCAATGAATAGTAAAGTTTCCTCCTTTCATCCACAGCTATGAACATTTATAATCTTAAAACTCATTTTTCTAGCATATTGAAACTCTGGAGTTCTTCAAAACATCTTCGAAAAGTGTTTTCTTCCTAATATTGGCTTGCAAATCAATGACAGGCTTGAATTCAACTGCACATTGTGTTCACCAAGGTAAAGTTGTAATTCTGTAGTTTAATTATTTTCCTGTGCTACAGAAAATAATTGTGATATGGGAATTCACAACAGCCATGACTTACCTGGTGTTGTTAGCCTCTCCCCATGATGTCTTTGCCTTTTATCAGAGTGCGCAGTGAGACAGAACCGATGTCCTTGCCGTGTAATCCAGCACTTCTGATGAAAAGAGGCTGAAATGTTAGCACATGCTTCAGCATCAGGTGAAATCAGCCTATAGACACGCTGAACAAACGGCTACAACAACAGGAGCAGGAGTTTTTAGCACTTCTGCTGCGCTTTACTGTGACTAAACAGGAACTCAGAATGAGAAGGTGCAGAAAAACCAAAGAGGAAGACAGTGGGAGGAGGTTTGACACACACTCAGGCTTTGTTCTTTCATATATGCTTTAGTTTTATTAATGCCAAGGATGGCAACTTGCCATAAATGGCAAGCTTATCTTAGAAATTACTGCCTTTTGAAATTACTGCACAATAAATCTATCTAGGCATATATTTACAGTACAGGTATGTGCCAGAGAATTTGAATATCGAGGGAAAGTCCATTTATTTCAATAATTAGTTTCAAAAAGTGAAACCTGTATGTTATATAAGGCTCCCTATGTCACAGTCTAGTCAGATAATCAAAATATAATAATATAAAATTATTTTGAACATTTTTTATATTATATATTATATTATATTATAAATGCAAATCTTTTTATTAGGTTATAATATGTAAATCAGGGATGAATTCTAGAGGGCCACTGTCCTGCTGAGTTCAGGGTTGTGGCTCAAAGGGAGACAGCTGTGGCTAAAAGTTACTTTTTCCCCATTTTAGTTACTAAGCTATTAAATGTTGCGTTTTATTAACGTCTGTACCTACCTCAACCTTAAACCTACCCCTCAAAGTAATGTAAAAATAAAAGTAATGTTGTACAGTGTCACAAAATGTTATGTTATTTAGGTCCCTTTATACTTTCTAGACTTTACCAAAGTTTAGCTCCAACCCTAATCAAACACACCTCGACAAACAAATCAATCAGTGCAATCAAAACAAGATATATCGCCCTCCAAAAGCACTTCAGAGTGAAAATAATCATGCTGTCATTCCAAACCTAAGTGCTCAAAAAAGTGTCCACTTCAAAGAGCCCTTAAGGATTAATTGACACTTCAGGTCCATATGATCTTTTTGTGAGGGAAGTTGTTTGGTGTCACACATTGCGTTTCATTTGGAAAAGCGCACCCCTATGCCATAATGCTTTCAAAACTGTTACTCTGGCGGATGGACATTTCCTGGATCCAAGTTGTCCATCCCTGATGTAAAATGCCATGATTTTCTGAATTCGTTCTATAGTCTAACTGCCAACTCAGCTTGTATACTCAAAGTAAGACCAGTTCCCCTAAGGCCAACATTTGCATTTTGTACAGTAAGCGTCTATCTCTTTTTGTCAGTCTCTTCCCTTTTCAAAAATCACATATGCATTAGTCAGCTTAACTGTAATAAAGGCATCGCAAATAGTAGAACTCAATTTTATGGCTGATCCAAAATAGGAACTTAACTGAGAGATCAGCACAGAAAACGCACAATATGTAATGGTTAATTTCACGATGTAACAGGTAACACAATATTTACAAGGTTTGACTCTGAGGCTGACTTGGTTGAAATATAATACTGCCATCTAGTGGTCTGAGTCTGACTACTTAATACACAAAAATAGCAAGTGTAAGGAACCTACATTCCCATGCAGTGCATGATTGATGTATCAGCACAGCATTAAACAATGGTTAAACTATATCATGGTAATATGTATGAAAAAATAATGGTTGGACTTCCTAAAATGAAAGCTAGAAATATATTAATATAATATGATCACTTTGAATCCACTTAAGACCATGCATGCAACTATTACAATGGACACCAAATGTCAGCTCATGTTTTTATTTTTTAAGTATTTAAGTATTAAGTATTTTTTAAGTATTTAAGTATTATGATTTATAAATATATTTGCAAGTATTTGTAATCTGAATGTAAAAAAGGACTGAATTTATATTATATATTATATTATATTTATATATATATATATATATATATATATATATATATATATATATATATATATATATATATATATATATATATATATATGTGTGTGTGTGTGTGTGTGTGTGTGTGTGTGTGTGTGTGTGTGTGTGTGTATAAACATACATTTATTCATTTTCTTTTTGGCTTATTCCCACAGCGGAATGAACTGCCAACTTATCCAGCACATGTTTTACACAGCAGATGCCCTTCCAGCTGCAACCCATCTCTGGGAAACATCCATACACACTCATTCACACTCATACACTACAGACAATGTAGCCTACCCAATTCACCTGTACTGCTTGTCTTTGGACTGTGGGGGAAACCGGAGCACCCGGAGGAAACCCATGTGAATGCAGGGAGAACATGTTGGGACAGTGTGGAGAATACAAAATCTAAATTTACTTTGACTTGCAATACCACACATTATTTAACGTATTTTACTTTATTGAGTTTTTTTTCCTGAAATAAACAAATTCCAATATTGATTCTTGCAGCACATTTAAAAAAAAGTTGGATCATTAAAGCATTTACCACTTTTTAATGTTTCCATTCCTTTTCACAACACTTAAAAAATGTTTAGGGGCTGAAAACAAGTGATGAAGTGATTCAGGTATAATTTTGTCCCATTATTCCTGCACTTCAAAATGCACCACACATTCTCTATCATGACAGACCCTGGCGTTTGGACTTGTTGCTTTAAACAGTCTGCATAATCCTTTTCTTCTTTTGTATGGAGCATGCACAGTCTATTTCTATTAAAAAAATACATGATTCATTTTACCACAGTACAAGTTTCCACTGTGTGATGGTCCATCCCAGATGGCCCTGAGCCCAGAAAAGTCAATGTCCCTTCTGAACACTGTTAACATAGGGCTTCTTTTTGGCACAGTACAGTTTTAACTGGCATTTGTCGATGTAACAACATAGTAACAACATATTGTGGTACTTGACAAAAGTTTGCCAAAGAAGTCCCAAACCCATGTGGTGATATTGTTTATATGAATGATAATTTTTAATGCAGTGCCACCTGAGGGATCAGAAATCACAGATGATCACCTTAGGCATGTGCTATTGTCTTTATCAGTGCCCTTATGCACTGAAAGTCCTTCAGATTCCTAGAATATTTAAATTATTTTATGCACTGTTGAAGGTGAAATATCCAAATGTCTTCCTATTGAGGAACATTGATTTTAAACATTTCAATCATTTGGTGATTAACCAATTTACCTGATTGCTACCCCTAAATTGCTCCTTTCCTAACTGTTTTGGAAATGTGTTGCAGGTCTGAATGACAAGAAAGGATGTATATTTACAAATAAAGTTAAGTTAATGAGAGAAAACATTAAATATTTCGTCACCTTAGAATTATAAGGTTCTATCTGACATTTTTTTTTTCTTTAAAATTGAGTTATTGACACATTCTTATTAAATGACAACTTATTTACATTATGTGATGTTTTTTTATAAGATGTTTTACATTTAAATACTTTTTATTTAAAAAACAAAAAGGTTTTATCTACAAAGTCGCATTTTAGCTTGGCTCTATAAGGTTCTATCTGTGAGCCAATCAGCATTTTTAATGCACGCACGAGGACCAATTAGGATCAGCTTTTTTTGTCATTTTTCCGGACTGCTCCATTGACAGTGAGAAACTTTGACAAAATCAGTCAACTTAATAATGTCGCCCCACACAAAATTGAGATGTGTGTAAATGTGATGATTTAGAAGCATTTTTTGACATTGAGATTCATTCCTTCATTCATTTTTGCCTCAGCTTAGTCCCTTTATTGATCAGAGGTCGCCACAGCAGAATGAACCGCCAACTTATCCAGCATATGTTTTATGCAGCAGATGCCTTTCCAGCTGCAACCCAATACTGGGAAACACCCATACAAACTCAATCACACCCATACACTATATGGTCAATTTTAGCTGTCCCAATTACCTGTATCGCATGTCTTTGGACTTGTGGGGGAAACCGGAGCACCTGGAGGAAACCCACGCAAACACGGGGAGTAGATGCAACCTCCACACAGAATTGCCAACTGATCCAACCAAGGCTCGAACCAGTGACTTTCTTGCTGTGAGGCAATCGTGCTACCCACTGCACCACCGCATAGCCGACATTGAGATGAAATGTTAAATTTTACATTGTTAAAAAATAAATATATTTAAAAATGTCTATATTAAACGGGAAATATATTTATTTGTTTATAGTCTGTGAAACACTTTTCAGTGTTTATTAAACTCACTTGATCATCATAAGTTTCTTTAAAAGTCTTTAAATTTAATATCAAGCCTTGAAGGGCAACTACTTTATTTAATCATGGGGCATATAATTCAATAAATATGATTCAATAATTCATATAAAATATAACATTTAATAAATATTAACATATTAATTAGAATGAAATTAACATCTGCACTGGACAAAATATTTAGCTCAGCCCTGTATGCTTTATTTAAACAAGAAAAAATATTTATCCTAAAACATAAAATAAATGTTAAAAAAAGCAAAAGTTTTACTTTCTCAAGCATCAACATATTGTTACTACACCACGTTATATATATTTTTTTATTGTATTTCTTGAAAAGTAATGGTTCAATGAATGATCTGCCAGATAGAACCTTATAATTCCAAATGACTTTTCAGAAAGAGAAGGTTCTATCTGCATTTACCGTGTTTTTTTTTTTTTTACTCCAATTTGCAAATGTAAGAGAACTTTGATAATTTACATTTAGAAAACCCTTAGGGTCTCTGTCATGTTAATGTATGAAAGAGAACTGTTACACACATATTGTTTGCTATGTGGAATGCAAAAACTTTAAAGCTTAATATCTCAAAATCATTTAAAACGCAGATAGAACCTTATAATTCTAAGGTGACGATTTGTTCATATTGTTTGCAATTCAACACAAGTCAACGAAAATTTGGAAACCACTGTCAGGTGCAAAATTATTCATACCCCTGGAAAATTCTAATTCTGAATTACTTTTATTTTTTAGCTCATCTTTAAAGATGAATGGGCAAATATAGCAGTAGAGACATGCAAAAAGCTGGTCAGCATAAATGAAAGGTTTTGATTGCTGTAATACCAATAAAGGTTTTTCTGTTGATTATTGAAAATACTCTGTAAATTTGGACATGGACTTTTTGTTCTTTAAATAAGAACTGAGAAACATTCCTTTTTCCACAATGATGCCTCTTGTACATCATCTTATATATTTTGGGAAAAGCCTGTCTCATTTCCAATCAAATTTGCCAGGAGTTTTGATTAATTTTGGACTTTTGAATGCTAAGTATATTTTATAAACTATGTATTCAAAATTCTCATAGTAACTTTAAAAAAAAAAAAAAAAAGTATTTTTAAGGTAACTGGTTAGTGTTTTCTGCTAGTTAGCAAATCAAACTCTAAATTTTTTAATAACATAATGTGTTATAATGTGTTACATAACTCTTGTTCCCTTATTCACTTGAATTAGGGCCCTGGCTTGGAGGGGGTCTAAGGATATAAGCAGCCAAAAACCTCTTATAGGTAGGTCTTTGGTACATTTCTTCTTCTTTGGACCAAGATGAGAACCTCAAAATATTATTATTATTATTTTTATTATTATTATTATTATTATCATTGTTGGTGAAAGTTACTTTTGAGCATAATATAACATAATATTGATTTACTCCCCAAAAATCTAACTTTGCATTACTCTTTCTGGTAAGTAATGTGTTATGTTACTTTTGAGTTACTTTTGTCTCTTTCCTACCTGACTGAGGCTTGATTTCTTTCAGAACTTGCAGGTTTTGTTCTTCTTATTTTATTAAATAGAGGAGCTGTATTACAAGTAATATTGCGTAACCTGTGTTACTTGCAATATTTTACCCCAACACTGGTTATTATTAAAATTATTCATTATTAATAACATAATAAAGGACAAAATACAGAACATAAAGTCCCTGGTTATTAATTTTTAATTATCAGGTATCATTTAATGTATACACTAACATTAATAACACTAATGTTTATAATAATAATAATAATTATAATTTTGTAATGGCTTTAAACATGATGCATATAAAATGCATGCGTTGTACAACAGAGTTGTTTGTGGTGTCACAATAGTTCTTAATATCTAGATCAGGGGTGTCAAACTCATTTTCTGGAGTGCACAGCCTTATAGTTTAGTTCCAACCCTGCTTCAACACACATACCTGTTGGTTTCAAAAGAGCCTAAAGTGCTCAATTAGTTTGATCAGGTGTGTTTAATTAGAGTTGGAACTAAACTGTGCAGAGCTGCTGCTCTGAAGTTTGACACCCCTGATCTAGATAGAATGTTTAGAATGCTGATATATATATATATACAGTTGAAGTCAGATTTAACCCCCTTAAAAAATGAATTCCTTTTTAAATATTTCCCAAATTTTCGCATTTGTTTTTTTGTTTTGTTTTTTTGGCTAGTATAAAATCAGTTTTAGTTTTAATTAAAAAAAAAAAACATTTTAATGTCAAAATTATTCGCCCCTTTAAGCTAACTTTTTTTTCGATAGTCTACAGACCAAACCATCGTTATGCAATAACTTGTCTAATTACTCCAACCTGCCTAGTTAACTAAATTAACCTAGTTAAGTCTTTAAATGTTATTTTAAGCTGTATAGAAGTGTATTGAAAAAAAGTAAGTATCAGCATTTAATTAATTTATTATAGGCTGTAAAAGCAATACAAGTGTTACATACAAGTCCTCATAAAGATTTAAACCAAATCAATATGTGATCTAACACTTAATATATAAAGTTTTATGTTGATGAAAGTCATTTCTGGGTGCTGTTAAAATAAGCCGAAACGTTTGTTAAAATAAAACTAAACTTATTAATAATAACTAAATTATTTGTCCACAATAACCATCGCTCAGATGAAAAATTATGTTTTGTTTTGTGCAATTTTGGTGATATGCATTGTTGCACTCATAGTAATGTTTTATCTTCTTCTCTACTTAAATATGCCTTCGGGACATACTAACTGAAGTTATATTATATAATGTATCATTGAATCTCTAATATACTGAATTCAATTATAATTCGGCACTGGTTTTATTGATAATCTACCAGTGGATGTCGTTGTTCTCTCGAATGTCACTGCTAGAGATGAATGAGCGCAAAGCCCAGCGTAAAGACCCGTCCGGCGCCTTTCTCAATAGAGCATATACGGCGAGCGAGGGAGAGAGGGGGGCAAAGTGAGTGTCTCCTATCACACTAGAGCTCAAACTAACGGGATCTGCTTATATCCTCTACATGCGCAGAGATTCAAGAACCAGACAGGTGAAAGCGCGTGTCCGATGTACTCAAGGAAAAAGAGAGCTAGCGCGAACTGAGATTTTTTAATTTTTTTGTTACTTTTCTGCTTTTGCTGAACTGTTTGACGGTGATACTGTGACCTGTGTGGAGATTTCTTTAATTGCGAACGCGTATTTATTGTAGTGTTTTTAAATCAGGTATCCAGAGTTTGCCCATGTGTTGGAGACAGATTCGGATTCACATTAGTTTTTATCTGGCATCGGTTTGAACCCAGCGGCTGTGGACTGATCAAGCTCAGACTGCCAACTGATTTGATATCCTTGTAAAATCTGCAGACGGGAACGCATCTTCTCACTAGGACGCACAGCTGTGTTTCAGCACAGGAGAGGCTGAGGAAGGCGCGCGAGGATGTTGAGAGTCTCTGATGCTTTGGTCACTTTGGTGACTCTCTGCTGTGTGCTCAAAGGGACTGTCGGCGGATATGGAATGAGCATGTTCGCCGCTCAGACCTCCCCGCCGGATCCGTGTTACGACGAGAACGGACACCCCAGAAGATGCATCCCCGACTTCGTAAACGCGGCGTTCGGGAAAGAAGTACGCGCGTCCAGCACCTGCGGCAAAACGCCGAGTCGTTACTGCGTGGTGACCGAGAAAGGGGACGAAAGACACAGAAACTGCCACACGTGCGACGCGTCAGACCCAAAGAAGAATCACCCACCAGCTTACCTGACCGACCTGAACAATCCTCACAATCTCACCTGCTGGCAGTCGGACAATTACCTCCAGTATCCTCAAAACGTCACTTTAACTTTATCCTTGGGCAAGAAATTTGAGGTGACCTACGTGAGTTTGCAGTTCTGCTCACCTCGACCGGAGTCTATGGCGATCTTTAAATCGATGGACTACGGAAAGTCCTGGGTGCCTTTCCAGTACTACTCGACCCAGTGTAGAAAGATGTACAACAAGCCCAGCAAAGCCACGATTACTAAGCAGAACGAGCAAGAGGCCATCTGCACAGATTCTCACACCGACATGCATCCTCTCTCCGGCGGGCTGATCGCGTTCAGCACCCTGGACGGGCGACCCTCCGCGCACGACTTTGACAATTCACCCGTACTTCAGGACTGGGTGACCGCCACTGACATTAAGGTGACTTTCAGCCGCCTGCACACTTTCGGAGACGAAAACGAGGATGACTCGGAGCTGGCCAGAGATTCCTATTTTTACGCAGTTTCCGACCTGCAGGTTGGAGGCAGATGTAAGTGTAATGGACACGCATCACGGTGCGTCAAAGACCGGGATGGAAACCTAGTGTGCGAGTGCAAGCACAACACAGCCGGACCAGAGTGTGACAGATGCAAACCTTTTCACTATGACCGACCCTGGCAGCGCGCAACCGCCAGAGAAGCCAACGAATGTGTCGGTAAGTCCATCATTTATATCTGCATCATCTCTGGAAAGCGCCTACGGCGAGAACATTTCACCAAAGACATATCGTTTTGTCGCATGTGCAATTTGTTTGAGATGAGTTAGAAACCAGCCATGACTGCCAAGTCAAAAGTGCGGGTGTTTTCTTTTTAAACGCAAGCATTTTGCTTGAAGTGAACTTTCAGGACCATTACAGTATAGCAATGTTCAAGTGACAGATTTATGAAGCATTTGCGCAATGGTTTGGAGAAAGATAAAGAAAAAAAATCTAAACATGTAGGACTTAAAATATGATTGGAGTTTAGCAGCCAGGTACCGACAGTCTCCATTACTATTTCTCAAACATTTAGAAAAGATTTTCACCAATTTTGACTTCGAAGAGCTTTTGGTTTGAAAGCATAAAATAAGGACATAATTAACAAATCTACAAATTAACTTCCTAACGATTTTTATGCCTTGCAAAATTTTGGTTTTCATTACAAAAATAAACATTAATATGGAAATGTAATAATCCTGTATATAGCTTAAATGTTTAATGCTCACCTCATTTTATCAAAGCGTAAATATTAAGGAAACAAGAATTTGTCGCCTGTCCATGGCTTGTTTTTTTAGTTCGCAACACACGAGATATCGTTCTGTAGTCTACTTAAATAATAATGTTTAAATGATATCAGTAGTGACTATTATTAATTTAGGGGCAAAGATATCATGATATGCGTTAGCATTAAAACAATTAACAGGTGTCACAGCAAGAAAGACAAACACGACATATTTTGTCGTCTAAAGAGCATTGTGATAAAAACCCAAGAAACATTTCGTGTTATTCCTTAAAATAAAATTACAAATAAAATTGGACACATTTATTGATGATTATTTCTTTTTAAAAATACTCTTGAATAAAATTGCTTTATTTCGAATCATGTTTAGAGGGGAAAAAACTAAGAATAACTAGAATGATCAAATTAAATGACCAGAAGCTAGATTGCCAGATGATTTAGATATACGCATTGAGATTTTATTCAGCATTTGTAAAGTAATGTAATTTAATTAAATAAAAATATGTTTGAAATACACATTATCACTGCGTAAAGTTAGCTGGGAGAACACAAATATAGCCTGCGTCTTACATCAGGAATTAATAAATAAAGCCGTTGCCTAACTCTTAATTGAATAACGAAGGACCTAATTTATAAACGAAATTAAATGTCATCATTTGTACAAAAACATTCACGCCACACTGATCTAAATCAAGCAGTCAGCATTCTTAAAGCAGTCACTTTGATTTATGAGTGCAGCAGCCTGAAATATGTACTAAAGTGTAATATAGTAGATGTATTTAGTATAATAATTGTTAATATAATAATATAACTAATAATAATATTAATAATTTAAAAAAGAAGAAAAAGTAGATGAAAAAGAAGAAAATAAGAACATCAACTCTATTAAATAAAATAAGTCAAAGAAATAAATACTGCATGAGTAAAATTGTCTGCATCTTACGTAATTTAGAAAATAAACCTGTAATATTTGCTTTTAATTTAAACAGTCCTGTAACTTTGGTATAGATTTAGTCTTCATTGCTAATTTATTTTTATTTATTTTTGGCAATGTGAAAACTTTAAAGTAATCTAAATCAGTCTGCACTGAATGAGAGTTTACTGGGAATTGGACATGGAATTAATGTCTGGTTCTGCATAAACATATCTGAGTTATACCCAAATAAAAAGACCCTGATAATCATCACCTGTCAGACACTTTTGTAGCAAAATTTGCACCTGCCCTGTGACTTTTCAAAGACTGTCTAGACTCGTCTTAGAAAAGAAGACCTTGTTCTCTTTCTACATGTATCTGCACTCTGCAAATATAAACAAACCAGGTTTAGACGCCACTGTCACGCTGGAGAAATGAATTGCTCCCCTGTATCCTTGACACTTTATTTTTACCGGGGCCTGCATGTGTGAGTCTTGCGTGGGGCACAAAAGATCGTCACTCATAGCATCCATCTTGCTGTCAGCGAGCCGACGCTTTTTTGCAGAACATTCCTCGTCTGTGTTTTTTTGAGCGCAGTGCCATCAGATCCACTGCTGAAATGAAAAGAGGGAGCAAGAGAATGAAAAGGAGTGAAGAAGTGAAAAGAGAAGAGTGAAGGGGTGGGCAACGTTAAAGCAAACAGAGCTTAAACAGGAGAAGAAAGAGCCGCGTGACACCTCTGAGCGAGGGCAGAGCCCGAGGGAAAACCTTTGTTTGTGTGTGTGTGTGTGTGTGTGTGTGTGTGTGTGTGTGTGTGTGTGTGTGTGTGTGTGTGTGTGTGTGTGTGTGTGTGTGAGGGGAAAATACAATCAAACACCTACAGAAACACTATGGCAACTTCTCAATCATAACTCAAACCTAAATATGGAAATATAGTGTGTGTTGTAAATGATCTGACTGAGGTTTGGTCCTCTTTCAACACTACCGTACTTTAAACATTCCAGTATTTCAATGTGTGGATCTGATGGGCGCTGTTGGTACTAATATGTGTTCATGTACTAGATTGAACTCTCACCAAAAGGGAATTTCACCACAGAACTCAAGTTTAACTGGGACGCTGTGCTATGTTTTCCATTTTGTAGGTACGATATAGGGCAAAATGTTTTGAAACAGAGGTAATGAGAGGAGGTTTTAAAGTGAATGAAAGGTAGGACAAGAAATAGTGTTGAGAGAAAGTGTTTAATAGATAGACATCAATAAGCGGGATTGCAAGGAGACCCAGGTTTAACTTGAACTGCACTTAACTGATTGGATCCTCTAGAGGAAATGGACCTGTATGAACCCCTGAGAGCCCCTTTAATGTGGCCTTAAGATATTGATCAGCTTGTCCCATTGAGAGACATAATTCTTTAATGCATCGAACCACAGTCTGAAGCCTGTCAAGAATATAAAGTGTGAGGAAAGAGGAATGTCACTCCATACTTTGGCGGGGAAATGACGCAGATCATTATATTACATACAAAGCATTGTCAAGTAACATTTAGATCAAAAATGCTTTAAACGATACACTCAAAAGTGACTTATTTAAAATGAACTAAAATAACACAATTCTTGTTTTTGTTTTTTACGGAAGAACCTAATTGTTTTATGTTCTATCTACTTAAAAAGTATATATATATATATATATATATATATATATATATATATATTCTATATATATACAGTGAAAGTCAAAATGATTATCAAAATGATTCATTAGGTTAATTAGGTAATTAGGTGGGTTAGGTTAATTAGTCAAGTTATTGATTAACCGTGGTTTAGTGGTTCTTTTAGTCAAGCTAGAAGAAGTAAGACTTTCCGTACATAAAAAAAAAAAAAAAAAAAAAAAAAAAAAAAAATATATATATATATATATATATATATATATATATATATATATATATATATATATATATATATATATATATGTATTATTGAAAACCTAGTTAAGCCTTTTAATGTCACTTTAAGCTGTATAGAAGTGTCTTGAAAAATATCTAGTCAAATATTATTTACTGTCATGATGGCAAAGATAAAATAAATCAGTTATTAGAGATGAGTTATTAAACCTATTATGTTTAGAAATGTATATATATATATATATATATATATATATATATATATATATATATATATATATATATATATATATATGTATTATTGAAAACACATGGGAAATATTTGAAAAACAGTTTTATTAGAGGGCAAATAAATTTACAATATTTAATAAATTAATTTGTCCATTTGTTTGTTGTTTTGTTCGTTCTTTTGTTTGCTTATTTGTTCGTTCATTCATTCATTCATTCATTCATTCATTCATTCATTCATTCATTCATTCAAGTACTTCTGTCACAACAATCAATATATCGATTTATCACAAAGCATGACCTCAATCATTTTTTGTGATGCAATAAACAGTTGAAGTCAGAATTATTAGCCCCCCTGTTTTTTTTTTTTTTTTTCCAATTTCTGTTTAATGGAGAGATTATTCTTTCAACACATTTCTAAACATAATAGTTTAAATAACTCAATTCTAATATCTGATTTATTTTATCTTTGCAATGATGACAGTAAATAATATCTTACTAGATGTTTTTCAAGACATTTCTATACAGCTTAAAGTGACATTTAAAGGCTTAACTAGGTTAATTAGGTTAACTCTGCAGGTTAGGGTAATTAGGCAAGTTATTGTATAATGTAGTTTGTTCTGTAGATTTTCAAATATATATATATATATATATATATATATATATATATATATATATATATATATATATATATATATATATATATAGCTTAAATGGGCTAATAATTTTGACCTTAAAAGGGTCTTTAAAAAATAAAAACTGTTTAAAATAAAAAACGAAATAAACCTAAAAAAAGACTTTCTCCAGAATAAAAAAAAAGTCATTATTAGATGTACTGTGAAAATGTCCTTGCTCTGTTAAACATCATTTGGTAAATATTTAAAAACAAACACAAAAAATTAGAGGGGCCTAATAATTCTGACTCCAACTGTATATCACCCATTCTTAAAAAAAAAGCGATTGCACAGCCTCTGTCATCAAATCTCTATTGAAGGTATCAGTATGGTTAAAAAAATATAGTATTTACTATAAATGAATAGTATATAGTATACAGTATATTTTCATGTGGGTTCCTAACTAAGTAGATCTGGTAGAGAATGTGGCCTGTTCGGTGTCCTGTGGCTCTGTTTAAAAGTCTAAATTGACCTTGTTAAACATGTTACTTTTTTCTAGTTCTTGGTACCTTTCACTTTTTTTCATCTTCAACATTTTTTATTAATTTGTTTAGGATACATATATACGTTTTCACATTCTGATGTTAATGCCTAATTAAAAATAAATTATAATTTGTTCTTTGAAAGTTTACTTTCATCATGATGCTATTAGTTGAAATTAGAATTATTAAACCCCCTTTGCATTTTTTTTTCTTTTTAAAATATTTCCCTTATGATGTTTAACA